CGCTCTTCCACTCTAGAACTTTGAAATAGAAACAGCGTCGACTAATCTCCGGCTTCTCTGAAAGTCCTCTCTCTCTCTCTCTCTCTTCCTCCCTCGTTCAGCTTTCGCTTTTCAAACGGGTGAGTTTTTGTATTTCGCTTCTGTGAATCTATTTTTTATTCAATCCATGCTTGTTGAATTTCTTTTCTATATAAAGAATTTGATTCAGCTTGAATAGTTCGGTAGTAGGCACTTTCTTGATTCAATTCTCCAGCTAAATTGATTTGTTAATTCGTTTGATGCATGGATTAGAAAATAAGCTACCTTAGTTAGGTAAAGCAGGTGGAGCTCTGGTTTCTAAGTTGATGTAGATATGGCAAATCGAAAGTCTAAAATCAATAGTTGCATAATTTGAAGTTTTTATTACTCTTTCTTCTTCCATTCGCCCTAATACTTTGATGAGGTTTTGTGGTTTCTTCAAATTTGGTTGATTTATAAATAGGATTTGGTTTGGTATTGGGTGATTTGGAGGAGGATTCTGTAATTGGCAAATAGAATGGAGGGAGGAGGCACGCAGCAAAGTTTGAGGAAGTATTTGGGAGCTATTAAAGACTCAACCACTGTTGGATTGGCCAAAGTGAACAGTGATTACAAGGTAGGTAAATTTGGTGCTGGTTGAGATTTATCAAGCAGATGAATTTGTAATCAATAATTTATGTGAATTTGTAGGAATTGGATATTGCAATAGTCCGGGCCACGAACCATGTTGAATCTCCTGCAAAGGAAAAGCACATCAAAGGTTTGTGACCTCTCTAACCTTTCCCCCTTCTGATGTAACAATTGTTAAATCCTTGCTAATTCTGATACTTTGTTTGGCTTTTTGTGTTGGAATTTAAAATATGTTAGAGGGATAAATTCAAATCCATTTAGTTCAATGAATGGTGGATTTAATAAATCCCAGGCCAAACGGAATTTATCAAAGAAGAAGTATTTAATGTCCCAAGTTTTGTTTGGCATGATTTAAGCTAAATTTTTCTTATACTCTGTGTAAGATAGAATACCAAACTGGCCTTGTAGGATAAAGGGAATTTTCATTCTCAAGCTTCTTCAAGAATTTATTTTGCTTCATAGTTTTTAAGTTCTTATTTTGCACTAACTTAACCAATGTATTAATCTTGCAATGAGCAGGCTAAATGCCACAGTTTTCTTGCTGTTAAACGGCCAAGTTCAGTCATCACCATATCTATCATCATTTTAAAGCTTTTGATTGTTTGTGCTTCTTAGTCTTTATAGTTCTATATTTTGTAGTAATCAGTATGGGATGATCTTCTTCAAATCTTCCTATGTTGTTTTCTTTGAAATTTCTCATTGCCTAGTTCGATTTAAATAGTTTTAATATTACAACTGCAAAGGTTTCAATATTTGCATGGATGCACAATCCTGAGTAGTTGCATTAATTATCTTGTTGTGTTGAGGGTGTGGAAGTAGGTGATCTTAAATACTGTATTTTTATTTATGGCAACACTTGAGTTCTTCTCCTTTTTAATTCCTTTGGCAAATCTCAAAGATCCCTTTCTACAGATAAAATATAGTACACTTTGATGGTATTCCACCATCAGGAGAAGTTATTTATCCATATTATGTTAAAATGAAAGAATTACATTCCTGTACCTGATATGATTAGCTTTTGATTTTTTTGCAGCTATATTTTTGGCCATTTCAGCTGCAAGACCTCGGGCTGATGTGGCATACTGTATTCATGCTCTTGCAAGGCGCCTTTCAAAGACGCACAATTGGGCTGTATGTGCATAATTTATATATTCTGTTTTAATTCCATTTTTTTCTGTCAGGCTTAAACTAAATATTGTTGTCCAAATGTACCTTATTGCAACATATTTTTCACTAAACTAATAGTTTGTTCTTATTAAAAAGTATATTTGGCTGCTTATGTTTTGTTATTTCAGTTCAAAAAATATCATAAAGGTAACAGCTTTTAATATCTTTATAGCATAAGTTAAATACTTATTTGAATTGTTTTCTTTGGTACCAAATATAACATTGAATGATCCTACAGGATGGTTATTTCTGCACCTTTCCAGTTGCACATGAGGTTTTTAGTTTTGATTATCTCATTATTGCTTTTTTTTACCTTTTCAGGTTGCATTAAAGACTTTAATAGTTATACATCGTGCTTTGAGAGAGGTTGACCCAACCTTCCGTGAGGAACTTATTAATTATGGAAGAAGTAGAAGCCAAATGTTAAACTTGTCCCATTTTAAGGATGATTCTAGTGCAAATGGTATTATTGTAATTAAGCTTGGCCGAGTTATAATCAAATTGGCACAAATGCCCTCGATTAATTTTATTCCTTTGATTACAGCATGGGACTACTCTGCATGGGTGCGCTCATATGCATTATATTTGGAGGAAAGGCTTGAATGCTTTCATGTTCTAAAGTATGATGTAGAGACGGACCCTCCGGTATGCCTTTTATTAAATACTTTTTGTTTTTGCTTGATGTTAGGAACCTGGTTCTCAATTTGGAATGGCATTAATTAAATGTGTTAATTGGCTCCATACGATTGGCATTGTTTTGGTTATTATTGATAATTTAAAGTTACTTTAGCACTCAAGACAACTTCAATTTCGCTTGTATCTGAAAATTGCTTACGTAAATGCTATTTTTCTTTTTCGATACTTCATTGTTTCTTATGTTACTTTATGTGATCATTTTGGTATGGATGCTCGAGTCATTTTTCTTTCTTTCTTGCATCATTTGAGCCTATGTTGTCAAGTATGTGTTTTAATTTTATCTATAAATAAGGCAAATCCAAGTTATTTAAGCTTGTCTATAGCATGCATACAATTCTTATTTTGAATCTGAAGGCTCTTCTTCCTCTTCTATTTTAAGGTTTTGATTTTTGATCATGTGAGATGGGAAATCATTTAGGGAGTTGAATTGCCTTTTTGAAGGGTTTTGCTTATTTATTTGGTTATAATTTTTTATCATTCCTTTCTACCTTTATCCGTTGTGTTATCTTTTTTATTATCTTTTCTTGTCTTTTCAAGGTAGGCCTACATTATTATCTTTATTATTTGATTAAAATTATTTGAATGGGTAGATACTGGATTTTAGCGAGAAGGGTGGCAAAATGAAAAACATATGAAAACTAATCAAAACTAGAACTTAAACATTTAGAAGGGTGGCAAAATGAAAAACATATGGAAACTAATCAAAACTAGAACTTAAACATTCTAAATTATATAAGTTGTAAAAAAAAGGATTAAGTACAAAAATTAGAATTAAGAACAACCTACAACACAAAAAAATATCTTTCAATCTAGCTCCCATAGTTAGGCATCTATTGCTTGTAACCATTGATTCTATCCCAAAAACTTATTGTAGTATTATTCTCAATATGTATTATCAATAAGCTTAAAATAGATTTACCTTATATTTTATTTATTTATCTTTTTTTAATAATCTTCATTGTTGGAGTTGTGTGCTCAGCTGTTAGTCAATAAAGTTTGCTTTAAGACCTATTGAATCGATTTATCAATGAGAAGATATTTGATCAATTTTCTCATCTTTGCCAACATCTGACAGATAAAAATTACGGGGTTGTTCCATAAAAATTAGTTTTTTACATCTATTTAAGATTTTATGTAACTTGTAAAACTTGAGGAGCTATATATTTACAAGAATTAATTGAGATTATATCATTACTCAAGGTTTTGTCTAAATACTTAAATTATGCCAAATGCTTTTTGGAGTAAGTTGATCTTATAGTTGTGGAGCTTCCGCTGGCATCAAACAAGCTCCTATCAAGTTCCTGCTTATCATTCTCTTTGATGTGGACTTGTGGTGGTCTTGACTTTTTAGGATTTGAGAATTTGGCTGCAAAAAAGAAGAAGATGAGAGTTTCAGAAATTGGACATGGAAGGAAAGAATACCTAAGTTCTAGGAAGTTTGGTGCAACTAGAGCATAAGGCAAAGGTTTCAAGAATTTGGATGGGAAAGGACGGAAGACACTTGGATGGAGAGTAGACGAGGATTTCCAAAATTTTGGTGTGGAAGTGGGTAGAGAATGAGTATTTTATAATTTTGGGAACAAAGGAGGAGAGAATTAGAGTTTTGGGAATTTAGTGCCAATAGGAGAGACGACAAGGGTTTCAAAAATTCTTAGCTCCAATGGAGAGAAGTCAAATTTTAGTATTTACTTATAATTTCTTAAACTATTTATATTAATAAATAAAAAGTAGAAGTTGCACTTTTGAATTAAATAATACTATATTTATATTTACAATAAATTAAAATATGATAAATAAAATTTTATTAAAAATGCACGATTAACAAGTAGTTTTAAAATATTATTGATTTTAAATTATACCTATGCATTTATATTTGGGGTGGCAAAATTTTCAATGTAATATATAAAATTAAGAGATCTATTCCAAATCTCGAGGTGGTAAGTGCTCTCCTCAGCCGCCATCCTTTAGTCCGACCGCTTGACAAATGGTCCATTTTAGATGATGGATGTAATATCTACAGTGGGTATTGATATATTGTTTATTCTTGTGTGAATGACTAGGAATCATGCTGCAAACTATGAAAATTGCTCAGAGCAGTCAAGTCAAAAATATGAATCTCTTCTTAGGAAGTAAAAAATAGATAATTTCAATATGGTTTAAGTTACTCGGGATTTTTTAAATAAAATGCAAATATGGCGTTCTTTTTAGTATTAAATCTTTCTTGAAATGTTCGGGAGCTTTTAAATGGAATGGCAATGCTGTCCACTCTAGAGTATAAAATTTGTCTTCAATTGCATGAAAGTAAAGAATATAAAGGGTCCATTAAATAAATCTTTGAGGCCAAATGTTTGCAATATTTCCTAGACCTTAAGATAAAATTACCTGAAAGATGGTGTTCTTTATAATTAATTAATGATTTTTTTCAATGAGTTTAGCTACGATGTAGTTGATATAAATCAGAGAAAAAGGAAGACACACAATAGAGGGGCTAAGGTTTTCTATATCCTGCCATTGTTATGGATTTTTAATTTCCACAAGTTTCAATAATTAATGTTATCCTTATAAAAATGCTTTCGAAAATAATTGTTATAAGACCTTCGGTTGTTGCAAATGCCATATTGTTTATGTAAGTGTCTTAGTAATGCGTACAAAAATCATACATTTATTGGACTCAGTAATTGCACTAGCTTAGCATAAAAAAGGTCTCACTGCTAGTGTAAAATTCACTATGTTTATTTATTCATACTGAAACTCATAATATCCTACAATTGATTTAATTTTGTTTTATGAGGAATTAAAATTAAGTATTTTTTGGATGTCTCAGCTCTCCTCTTTCTTCCTTATGGAAACCTTATGATCTTAAATTTGTTGGGCACTTTTTCGATGTAATTATCTCTTTCTTCTGTTTTTATTAAAAAAATATCAGTCTTAACCAAGGATAATAGTTTTTATACAGAGAACTCGAGATAGTGATGCTGCTGAGTTACTTGTCCACTTACCTGCCCTGCAGCAACTTTTATTTCGCCTGATAAGCTGCCAGGTTGTTGATGTGGTTTAATCAGCTGTATTTTTCCTGCTGCAAAACTAAAGCAAGCTAAACAAGCTTGAATATAATTTCAAATTTTTTCGTGATTAATTATACTGGAATGTTTGTGCAGCCACAAGGAGCAGCCATCCATAACTTTGTAATTCAGCTGGCACTCTCTTTGGTAATAGAATGTATTTTGTATTTTAATATATCTTAAGTTTTATCTCGTACACATATTTATTTTTATATTATTTTTGTAGGTTGCTGCTGAGAGTACAAAGATATATAATGCTATTAATGATGGTACAATCAATATGGTTGACAAGGTATTGGTTTTTTTTTCTTTTTTCTTTCTGTTTTTTTTTTTAAATTACCAGCTTTCGTTTTTAATGCCACCTTCTAAATACCTTGTATTATTCCAGTTCTTTGAGATGCAACACTATGATGCTCTCAAGTCACTTGACATATATCGACGAGCTGGTCAACAGGTACTTTTTTTTTAAAAAAATTTTTTTTGTGTTCTTATTTGAAAAATTTATAAATGCCTGAGAATTTTCATTGTGGCAATGCCTAAACATGGTTATCTGGTCCTTAAAAATTTTTCATTTGAGGAATTTTTTTTAGTAGTATTACTACGTTCAACACTTTGTTTATTCATTGTCTTCCTTTTAATTATTTATTGATTTTCAGGCAGAGAGGTTGTCAGAATTTTATGAAGTGTGTAAAAACATTGGCATTGGACGTGGGGAGAAGTTTATTAAAATAGATCAGGTTTATTTTCCATTGTATCTGAATTTCGAAATTATTGTAAACCTGTTTTTTATTTTGTTTTATTCCCTTATCAATATTTGTTCTTTTTTTAATTGCTAATATTGCAGCCTCCTGCATCATTTCTCAATGCCATGGAGGAGTACGTTAGAGAAGCTCCTCGAGTTTCAGCTGTTAGAAAAGACCAGGTTAGTGATGACTTACTGCTGTTTTGGTTGTTGAAGCAACCATCATAAATCTGCTAGCTTTTCTGGATATCATAGCAATCACTATTCATAGTTTTGGCTTTCATTTTCCATTTTAGTTATTTGTGTCATTGTGTGAGCCCCAAGGAATACAATGATGAGCTATTATCTTATTCTTTAACAAATTTGTGAGTCATTCATCGTTATGTGACATGGATTCCAGACAACTGTGCATGCTGCAACTCTTTCTTTGGTTGTGAAGTAAAATTAATTGTCATAATTGGAATGGAATATGACAATTGTCACATTTGGATGGAATAGTACAACTGTGTAGTTGCAGGATGCCGGTTGAGTAGGATGGGAATGTAACTTAATTGTTCATAATCAGTCATTGACTAGTGATAATCTGATATAAATTGTTTTTCATCTGATTTCAGCTTGTTAGATTGGAAATTTGTGCTTGAGGTATTTCAAGATAATCATCCAGTATCAAGTTACTGGGTTATAGGAGGTCTTATGTGTAAAATAAAAGATTTTTGTTTCAAGTTTGTGGCTTTACAGTATCTTCTATGCTCACATTGTTGAATTTGCATATTTTCAAGGATTTTTTATTTCATTTGATAGAAAATCTGCTGCAAAATATATCAGGTGAAGGAGGAAAAAGCATCTCCAAAGGTTATTTTGGCCATTGAAGACAAGAAAGCTCTTGAAGTACAGGAGGCACCTCCACCACCTCCTCCACCTCCACCACCACCTCCTGAACCAGTAAAGGTGGAAGCTCCTCCGGCAGTATCTAAGGAGCCTGATCTGCTGGTATTATTCAGTCGAGAGAGACACACGTTAAAATTTTTATACACTTTTTTCACCAAATTAACCTTCTCCATTGTGCTTGTCAGGGTTTAAATGACACCAATCCTGATGCTTTGGAGTTGGATGCTAAAAATGCTTTGGCTCTTGCCATTGTTCCAGTTGGTAAATTCCAATTACTCCCATTATCTTTAGAAGCTAGCTAGACTAACATTATATGGGTATCAAATTGGGTTCACGGGTTGTGTTCCGATTCAACCTAAAATTGACCTGATCCGAAACTGCTTGACCCCAACCCTACTCGAATATCAAGCGGGTCAAAAAGTCCAACTCAAACCGACCTGGTTTCAACTCTTATATAACCCTTTAACACAGGGAACAACAGCTATTTGAGTCGATTTTTGGTCAAATTCGGATCGATTTTGGGTCAATCTCAAGTCAATTATTGGGTTACCTTGAACAAGACCCGAAAAATTAAACTGGTTAGATTATTAAACCCGAACCAAACCAAAAAATTATTCTGGCCAAACCAAACTCGGATTTTTTGTGTCGAGTTTGGGTCGAGTTGAATCGTCCGGTTAATTTTTGAGACTCCTACTAACATCTTTCTGTTTGTTTGTTATACTCTTTGGGAAAAATTTCGGCAGATAATCCATCAACAACGACTTCAGCAGCTAGTTTCACAACAGAGAATGGAACCACAGGCTGGGAGTTGGCACTCGTCACTGCTACGAGCTCAAATGATTCTGCAGCTGCTGCAAGCAAGATGGTAAATTTCGATATTTACTCGACCATTTTTATCTGATCTCTATGATTATGTTCACCCAATGTGTCTCTAGGGCGGAGGATTGGACAAACTTACATTGGACAGCTTATACGACGATGCTATCAGACGAGCGAACCAGCCAACTAGTTACAATCCATGGGAGCCCGCACTGATGGCCAGCTCCATGCAACAACCTGTAATGGCTCACGACCCATTCTATGCATCCAATGCCATTACTGCTCCTCACTCCATCCAAATGGCTGTGATGGCTCAGCAGCAGGCACTAATGCAGCAGCAGCAGCAGCAGCAACAAATGATGATGATGGGTCAGCAGCAGTTCTATCCACAGAACAACAACCCATTCGGAAATCCGTATGCTTCAAGCGGCCCGCAACCCTATGGCTTAGGTATGCCTCTTCAATCATCAAATGTACGCTCTGGTTTCATCTGAAAGTTGCCAGAAAATATTCTGTTGTGTGAGAGGAGAGTGTAGTAATCTATTCTAGCAGGCATGGCAGTGATATATTATAATTCTTTATTTGGAGAGTGACAAAAAAAAAAAAAATGGAGAAAGAGGGGATTGTTAAGACATGATTGTTTTTGTAAACATAAATTCCTTACAATAAGAATTCTTGGATGACATTTGTTATTATTCATATTGCAAAACCTTAGTAGAACTGAGAAAAATGTGATTGCTAGTCTCTTTCAATCTGCCATCTTTATACTCGTTGGCATTGGCCGAGTTTCTTCTATAGCCTAAAAGATGTGAGGTTTTCTTGTTCCTACACTATCTGAAGGAAAGTTTTTTTGGCTTGCAATACACTGCTCATGTGGGATATTTTCTCTTGTTATATGTACTTCATTATCTGGTGTTTTTTTTCTATAGATTTTACTACTTTGATGACAACTTTAAAATTGTTTAAAAGAGAGTATATTTTCTATTATGTCTAGTTTTTTTTTCTATAGTTTTATATTTACTTATAAATTATTGCTTAACTGTTTTATACGCTCTTGTACGTTTGTATAGAGTAGATTATTTATGTTGCTCTCACATTACAACGTAACTTGTGTCTGCTTTTCAGTAACTTTGATGTTCAGTATATTAATTTACGTGGTGTAGCTGAGTTATTACTTCTTATGTTGCGCAGTAGTTAGAATTGCCTCTTTTTTAATCATGTTCATAATTTTTTTGCAGGATCAGATGAATTATTTACAAATCTGTATTTACTAAAGTTTTTGTGATTAATCATTTTTGTTCTGATAAAATCACTTTTCCTTGGACATTTTCTTAACATGTATTTTTTGTGGAGAAATCTTGGAAAATTTTCAATCTGAACGGATGATTTCCTTGGACTGAAATAAATGTATCCATGTTGTTAGCTATCCCTATCCAATATAGATTAATGCACCTAACCGGTCCATTTAATTGGAAAATAATTGTTTGGAGATATCTGATCAGTTTATAGTTTTAAATTTCTATTAAGATTGATAGGTCATCAACAAATTTTTTTCATTTGGCATGAATTTTGAGGTAATTAGCACAATTCTCATCATTATTTTTTAGTATTAAAACTTCAAACTCAAATTAGAAATCACTTATATCTGGTTAAAACAAACTTACAAACAAAGTTGCTGGTCAAGGGGACGGGGACATTGAGACTGAAATTTTCAGTACGAGTCAAAGTATTGAACCACTTTTAGAAGCATTTGATGGTTAATTAGAAAGACAAATAGATTTTAAATCTAGCAAATTTATAGTTAAATTGAGTGCCTCGACAATACGAATCCAACGGGCTCAATATCTCTCAATTGTGAAATCATTAAGGTAGTACAATATCCACAATATGACTTCTGATAAAGGGAATCTCTCTTGGTCGATGGAGTGGTCTGGATTCTTTTATTATTTACAAGAATGTTACTCTCTTATTGTATAAATAGAGCCCCTAATCCCCTTGTGAAATGGGGGAGCTGGACCTGAAGAAGAAAAGGATGAGTTAATTTTCAGAGTTATTATTGGTCGAAATTCCGACAAACACTTCCTGCTCCCACAGTCGTCGACCAAAGCTCGACGATTGTCGTCGACCACCGTCAGCCTCCCCTTGCCTATCTCCATTGGAGGACCCTGTGGAGTAACGACGTTCATTGCAGTGTAACAATGTACCGCGAAGACGGTGCAATGACACACCCAAAATGTGGAGTAATGACACATCATGAATCCAGTGTAGCAACTTGTCCCCAATACGAGGTTAAAAGTAACCTCGTATTGAAGGGCCAACGATAACTCTCTATGACAATAAATTATGACTGTCATATTCAGGTTATGATGACTTCCTGCAAACTTCTGAAGTTCTCTTTTTACAACTCCTTGCTACGACCTCTGCGTTTAATTTGTGTTATCACAACTCACAACTACAACAACCTCTATGGCCTACAAGCGTTATTACAGCTCATAATTACGACTTATGTGACCAACTACGGCTTAGTTGGCTGAAAGCTCACCCAGCTCCCAACTCTGGCTTCTATGACCTACAAACGTTATTTCAGTTTCCAACTTCAACCTCTATGACTTACATATACAATTGTAGCTCACTGCCATGTCATATGACCAACTATGGCTGATGTAGTACACAGCTCCTGCAACTCTACTTTTAGCCTCTATTACCTACATACATTATTGCAGCTCACCACCACGACATACGTGACCAATTACGACCTATATGATTCGTAACTCATACAACTCCCAACTCCAGCCTCTATGACCTACAAAGGTTGTCTCAACTCACCACTAAGACTTACATGACTAACTACGAGTTATGTGGCTGACATCTCACTCATGTAACTCCTTTGATATATATATATATATCCCGTCGTACATCATATAAGAATATTAAACAGATATGATTAATAATAAAAACATAAAAGCATAAGGACTACTTAGGAACTTGATTTAGCTTTGGAAGCATACATTTATGATTAAAAAGTGAAATGATTTTTAATACAATAAGCCAAAGTTCTTTGACTGGAATGCATCAAAAGACGTGCATGCATGCATGGGAGGAGACCTGAACGAGGAATCTGGTGCTATGATTTGAATCTTTATTGTTTTCCGTCTGCATTGTGATTTAAAATAAATGAACGTTAAAAATTACGGCTATCTTTTGGGTGGCACTCAGTTGTACTTATAATAATTAAGAGGGGCAGCTTTCAGGCAGTTCTGGGTGAGAGAATATCTTATAACTTCATTTACACCAAAACTGTCAAGAACATGCAGTTGGATTGTAACCCTAAAAGGGAGCATTTTGGAATCACTCACTTAGAATAATACAATCAGTTCATTTATGTATGTACTTCTCAAATATTAAAAAAAAGGGCATTTACATGTATGCACCCAATTACTATATATTTATATATCTAACCCCTATACTGTTAGTTTTTATATTTTTTTCATGTTTTCATGCTTATATATATATATATATAGAAATTGAGTGTTATGTATACCCAAATAAAGTCGTATACTTAAATAAGGTTTTTTTCATGGGCATAACTTGAGGGCCAACAGACACTATGAGCTTCGAAGGTCCATATCTAAAGATCAAGTCATTCTCGAACCAAGACCACCTGCTAAAGTGGTCGACCCGAGTCCACCTGCCAAAGAAACCTATCTCCTGAGAAGCTATCATTACATCAAAGTAAATGAGTTCATCTTAATTTATAGTGTTGTCTGACACTCACATCACAATCTTTTCATAAAAATATTATGGACAGACGTATGTATTACTTGTCAAGATATAACTTTTATTTCTTTTATCTCATATAATTTATATAAAAGAGATGTTAGGGGATGTAAAGGGGTATTCTCATTCTTCTCTCTCTCTCTCTCTCTCTCTCTCTCTCTTTGGGGACCAAGAAGTTGAGAGCATTTTTATGAGCTAAGGCTTGACTGCACTGGGAATCCTGAAAAAACATAGAGTGAGAAACACAAGCTCTAACAACACATTTATCATCTTCTTCCCTACCTTTCTCTTAAAAATGGAGTCTTTACTTGGTTGTGCAGACTAACGAACAATACCAAACCTTACATCCTAAAAGGATAAACATCCTAAAAGGTGTGGTGAACATAATTTATACTCACAACTCTACAAGAAAATTCTTTTAGTGTATGGAAGAACAAAGAAATATGATGAATTGTACCAGAGAGTTTGTGACACAACATATTAATGAACCGAGGGAATAAGTTTTGAAAACTATACAAGATTCAAGACAAGAAGGGTTTAGATCTCGTTTTAGGACTCAGCCTAGGATGCATACAAGATGATCATGGTTTGTGGCTCGTAGATGAAAAGCATTGAGATAAGGACCAGCGAGGAAGTAGCCATCTATGCAGGAACTAGACTGAAACTTGATATTAGTGTACAAGAAGAAGAAAATGATGATGAAGAAGAAGAATAAAGGGATGAATCTTATGTTCCAGAGTGAGAACCTTTTAAATCCTTGGATGTAGTAGCTAGAATGAGATAATGATCGTTAGAGAGCATATTATCAAGAGAGATTGCGTCAAGGGAGTTCAAAATTCTTTCTCTAGAAACGTATAAAGAGAAGTCAGATCTTGTTGAGCATGTATCTTCTTTTGAGTTAGGTAAATGTCTGTCAAGGGTAAATGACCCCCTAAAATATTATTTTTATGATTTTGAAAGAATTAGTCTTGTGTTGGTTCATTAGCTTACAGTAGTTCGTTAACTTACCTACATAAGTCATCACCTCCCTTAGAAAGTTCAAGATCATGTTCATAGCCCAATTCACTATCACACAAAACCCGCCAAAGAACTCTTAGGCCCCTCTATGGATCCAACATGATCTTACAGAGAGCCTCAAAATCTTCATCAAATGCTTGTAGTGAGAGATATTGGACGTTTGGCCCCTAGAACTTGTTGTTGCTGACGTTGTCTTGACTCAAGGCCTATGTTAAGCTCCATTCAAGTACACACTTGGCTTAAAAAACTAAGAACTCTCGTTGAGCTCTTAGATAACCAAATTTTTCCAGAAGAATACAGTTCTTTGCTTAGCTCCTCTAGGCCGCATGAGCCCAAGGGAAGTTTCAAAATCAATCCCATGAAGACCGCAAGAACCCAAGAAATCAATTTAATAAGAAAAAAAATTTAGAACACTCCTAAAAAACTGTTTCAACAACATGAGTGGGAAGATACCAATATAAGACTAGTCAAAAGAAGGCCTAAGAGGAGGCATGAATCATCTCATTTCCCTCATACCGAAGTAAAACCATCGTAGGTGTTAATGACCGAGATTATCAAAGCCATCTAAAACTTGGACTTCTTCAAGAAGTAATTTCCCATGGAGGCCAGAACTCATGCATAGATCTCAAAAGATTTCAATCTAAATGATCAGAATACCATAATAATGATGATTATGATTCGAAGGAATATTGATACCACTGTGTACTATTTTTTTATTGTAGCCATCATAGATCTCAAAAGATTTCTATCTAAATGATCAGATACAACATTCAAAGAATATTATACTATAACAAAAAATAAAAATTAACTTAGAATGGATTTAATCATTTAGATGATAAAAATCTTTGTGATTCATGGATCTACAAAATCGAAATTTTTAATATTAAAGACAAATTCTGGT